CCCGGGGAAGGGTGGGGTGTTTGGGGGGGGCGGGGCACCGGCCGGGCCCCTGCCCGCCGCGCCCCGGCCGGAGCGGAGGTCCCCGGCGTTGGGGAGCTGGAGGGGGCTCCTGCTGCCCCTTTGCAGGCAGCGGTAGGGTGCTGTCTCATGAGGCAGGTGGGACACGCAGGGTACCCGGTTACACAAAAGCTGCCCTTTTGCAGCCAAAGGGAGGGCTCTGCCGGCGTGCCCTTGTCCTCTCCATGGCCCTGTGCTGAGAAATGCCCCTTTTACACTGTCGGCAAAACGAAGGAGGCGATTGTAAACCCCTTGGAGATCTCCAGGCGCAGAGAGCTGGGGTGTTAAACCATCGCGCTTGGAGATGTCCGCTCCGGGAGAGCTGAGCAGTGGGAAGCCTCTGTGTTATAATCCCTGCTTTCCCTCCCGAGCTGCTCCGTTCCCTGGTGGCTTGCCTGAACTTCAGGCTGGAAACTTCTTGGGGCAGGGATGGCGTTTCTGCCTGCCTTTGCTTTTCACACAGCTCCGAGGGTGTTGGGAACTCTGTGAAAGGAGGATGAAACGGGCAGCAAGCAGGCAGGCAAAGGGCCATCGCGGTGCGTGGGCGAGAGGGTTTGTGACTCCATGTGCGGGCAGGGCAGGCAGCGGGCTCGGCAGCCCCGCGGGCAGCGGCAGGGCGGCTCTCGCCTCCTGACGTGGCTTCTCCTCCCAGCTCGGAGAGGACGCGGCCGCAGCCTCCAGCTCCCTCTGGAAGTGGGGAGGTTTTGTGAAGTGGATGTCCGGGTGCTGGGACTGGACCGAAACGGTGCTGCCGGCTGTGTCTGCGGGGTGCCCAAGCCTGCCAGCCCTTCCTTTTCGGAAGCATAAAGCCCTTTTCGTAATAACCCTTTGGCTGCCAAGTTATGTGGATCTCCCAGGAAAGGAGGAACGTCACTTAGTTCAGTTAAAACTTTGTTTGCAGTGACGTATGTGGAAACCAAGTAGTTGCCACCCAAACTGGGAGGTAGAAGCCCTGCCGGTGCCACCACTGCTGCTGGGGCAGGACATCGCTCCTTCTCACCTGGGCTGCTGACCCTTCCCCATTAAAATGCGTGCCAGCCGCGTTTCACCCAGGGATGCTTCACCACAAACCGGGATGCGGGTGAGGTGTCCTGCCTTGGGACGTGGCGAGGGGACAGGCGCCATAGCTGCTGGGCTGGCCTTCCCCTGGCTGGCAGGATGGCGGGGAGCCGAGCTGGCGGAGGCTCCTGGCCCTGGCAGGGGCTCTCGGTGCAGGCAGCTCGGGCGAGGAGCCGCTGCTGTAAGGACGGGCTCGGCGGCTCGGAGCAGCCCCCGCGGGGGCCTCTGACAGCTGATAACCGGAGCCTTCCGAGGGGCTTGGCAGGCGTCTGAGCGAGGAAATGCCTGTGGCACAGGCTGGGAGCAGCCCTGGGGCGGGCGGTGACAACAGGCTGGGCTCAACATCTCCCTCCAGGTTGAGAGATCATCTCACAGAGGCTCCTCGGGATGGGGCGTCCTGGGGTGTAGGGCACGTCGGGGCTGCTGATCCCCGGCTGCTCCTGCCCGGGCTGGGGCTTGGCGGTAGCTGCTGCACCATGTCTCCCTGGCACACAGGCAGCAGCACTGCTTGGATCTCCCTGCGGGTTCAAAAGTTAACGTGCAAAGTGATCTCCTCGAGCCGCCGGGAGGTTTGAATAGCATCCCTTTAGGCTGGAGAATGGGGAGCAGCAGGTAAATAGGGCTACTGTGCGGAGAGGAGCAAACAGCCAGATTGGTTCACTTCCCTCTGGCTCTTTTGCCTCTCCAAAAACATTCAGCTGTCTTATCTATTTAGATCATGAAGTCCTCAGAGCAGGGATGGTCGCTCAGCACACACGATTAATAATGCAAATAAAGACACACTTTCCTGCCAACATTGATGGGGAGATGGCCAGGGTATGTGTTTGTGAGGAAATCTGTGACTGTTCGGCGTGGTTTTGGAGCAATCATCTTTGTCTGCTGTAAAGCCTTGTGGTATTTTGGCTGCTGTGGTTGTTACGAGTGTGCCATGGGCATCCGAGGAGACGGGGCAGCGGGATGTCCTGGCACGGCGTGGCTGAGCGCTGGGAGAAGGGCTCAGCCTCGCTGGGGCCGGTGGGTACCCGAGCATCCCCCTCCCCGCCCTCTGCTCCGGGTGCTACAACAGCCACAACCGCTTCGTTTCTCTTCTGTTTCAAGGTGGCCGAGAGAATAAAATGCCCATCTTGATCTCCAAGATATTCAAGGGGCTGGCAGCGGATCAGACCGAGGCGCTGTACGTGGGGGACGCCATCCTCTCTGTCAACGGGACTGACCTGTCCGAGGCGACGCATGACGAGGCGGTGCAGGCGTTGAAGAAGACGGGCAAGGAGGTGGTCTTAGAAGGTAGGAGATGAGGATGCGAGGGGGGACGAGGGTCCTCCTGCTTCTGGGGGGCTAACCCGCATTTTTTCCTGCGATGTGCTGGAAGCATCGGGGTGGCACAGCATCTGTATACACATTTGCATACTTTTCCAAATGGAAAACAACATGTGCACACTGTTTGATCAGTTCATCTGGAGAGCTGGAGGTAACTGCTGGGATCTCCCTCTCTGGAGACCGCGGGCAGGCAGCGATGGGAGGTGTGGGGCGGGTTTATGGGGTTTGCGACTCTTCTATCATACGATGTCACCCTGAGGTCTGCGGTTCCTGGGGCCATGGAAGACTTTCTGCTTTTCCTGTGATTTTCATTTCAACCCGCATCCTTGGCTGGAGCGGAGCCGTGCGGCTCTGCAGGCTTAGAGCAGCCAGGAGGGGGTACACCGGCACCCCGCTCCTTGCTGGGCATGGTTTGGTTTGCTGGGGCGGATTTTGGGCAGGCAGGAGGAGCAGGCTGCTGGGTGCAGGCAGGGCCAGCTCAGGAGCGCAGCTGCAGGAGCTGCCTATCTGGGGGGTGTCCAGCAGCTGAACCCCAACCATGGCCCCCCCAGATCTGGCAGCTGAGGCTACAAACATCCCAGGGATTGTAGCCCGTGCTGTCCCAGGGGAGACTGAAGCTGGTCCTCTGGGAATGGGCTCCCTCTTGGTACCGGGCAGCCGGTCCCTGGTGTCTCCCAGCCCTATGGGGGCTGGCAGGCTGTGGGAACCCCCCGAACCCCGCCTGGGGAGTGGGTGAGGGCTGGTGGGTTGGGACCGTGGGAGGAGGGACCCCGCTTTTCTCCTGTTACGCTTCACATCATGTCTGTTCGCACTTGCCCACTCTCTGCCAGCTTGGCCGGGCAGGCGTCAGCACCCAGGGTCTGTCCCCCAGGATGGGACCCTTCCCCTCCCCTCTTCCTTCCCTCCCCTCACCTCACCAGCCCCCTGGGCCACCCCAGCTGACCAGGAGGGTCTCGGCACCAAAGACCCTTCCCAATGTGGTTTTAGCACTGCAGATCCCAAAGGGAGGCTTTATTTGGGAGCAGTGCTCTGGGCTCTGCCTGGACAAAGAAGAGCTCTGTGTCTTTTGCTGCCAGCGACCGCCGTGGCTCTTGCTTTCCTGTGCCTTCTCCAGATTGTCTCAGCTCCACATTTTCATTTTTAGCTTCGCTCAGCCCTTTCTGCTGTGGGTTCCTCCTCTCCTGGGAGCCGCAGGACCACGGTTCAGCCGGAGGAATGTGCTGCTCTGCACAGCTGCTGGGAGCAGATAGGGTTGTTGGTGGGGTTGTTTTTTTTTTTTTTGACCAAAGAGAAATACAAGAGCCTCTTTCTCTCTGAGTCTGCAAAATTCCTCCCCATAGCTGCTGTTCTCGGACCACCCTCTCTCTGTTATTTTCTTTTCATCCTTTACTTTGGCGTGGGTTTCCTTTCTGCTAGAGGTCCTGCGGGAGGTGGAGATGAGCTGCCCTTTCTGTAGAGAACAACTTCTCTCCTTGGACCACCTTCTCCTCCTCGTCCTCGTCCTCCTCCTCCTCCTCCTCCTCCATCCCCCTGGGGAGCCGGGTGCTGCCAGGTTGCCCTCCCAGGAGGCAGCTGCAGGCAGGGCCTTCGCTGTAGCTCGCTCAGCTCAGGTCTGACCTGCTGGGCTTCTTAATTAATTAAAACTGCCAGCAGGTACCCTTGGGAGGAGAGCGGTGCTGGGCTGGCTCCCGCCACGGCATGCTGGAGGCTTTGTGATTAGTTTGTAGCTGATGCCGTTGGGCTCCTGCGGCACGGTGTTGCTCAGGGATGTTGCAGGCAACAGCTGGAGTGGGGCAGGGGTCTGTGCTGCTCGTCTGATTGCGGACATCGGGTACACACATGGCGCATCTCCATCTCCTCCCCGTTTTGGGTTTGCCGGTGTGGTACAGCCCTGCCCGTGGAGGATGGCAGGGCTGGCACTGTGGCATGGTCCCTGTCGGGCTGTCGCTGCCCTGCAGAGGTGATGGCCCTGCCTCAGGACGGGGTGTCCCCTGCCTCTTACCTGACACCCCAATGGCTCTCCAGGAGCCGGCCGGCTGAGCGCCCTGCCCTGGGGAGGGCTGGCAGGGCTGGGGAGCAGAGGGTGGCCTTAAAGGGCCCGAAGGGTGGCAAAGGGGGAGCTTCCCTGCTCCCTTCTCCTGCTTGGGCTCGCTCCAGGGTGCGGTGAAAAGCGACACGATGGCCTTAACATCAAGCAGGCGCTTTCTGGTCCCCGCGCGCTGCCAGGGGTGACTCTGACTTCCCTTACGGTTACTGCGTCCACGCGTCGGGACGGTGAGTTGGGGTGAGACTCTCCAAAATGGCAGAGCTGGGAGGTGACATGTTTTAATCCAAATATCGGCAGTGGCTCCATGTGCCAGATCTCACCCCGGGCTGCTCAGCTTGGCTTCTGGCTCCTGGATGTCGTTGCTGGCCGGGCACGAGGACACGCATATATTTCTCAGCGTGTCCTGACAAGATTTTTTTTGGATATGCGAAACTGCTCTCTTGATACTTGCAGGAGGAGTTCGACTGTATTTATATTACATTGTTATTTTGGGGAGAGTTGCTCTCCCTTACCTTATTTTTCCCTGTTGTTTTTTTTTTTTTCTTTTTTGCATTGCTTGGTATCCGGAGACCCTCCGTGGCGGGGAAAGGCTGCTAAACACCCTTCCAGCTGCCCTGGGAAGGGCTTTGGTGCCAGGAGTGGTTTTCCCAGCAAGGTCCCTGTGCCGTATTGGCACGGGGAGAGAACTGGGAGCAGTGGGGAGGAGGAGCTGGGACAGCCGCAGGCATCTCGCCTCCATGGCAGCCCGGGGCTTGTTGGCTGCAGGGGAGCTCCTGGGGCTGTTGCAGCTCTCCAGAACTCGCTCGGCCAAGTAATAACTTAGAAGCTTGAAATTCAGAAAAGCTAAGGGGTGCCAGGAGGGTGTAGCGCTGGGGATGCCCGGCTCCGGCAGGCTGATTGCCCTAACCCTGGGAAGCCCAGGAGGTCACAGAGGGTGGAGATGTGGATGGTGTGAAATGTGAAATACCTACAAAATTTAGGTGACCCTGGGGTAAATAGCACACGATGCAGAGTGGAAGGGGGTTTCGAGTGGAGGCGGATGGTGGCAGCCAGGATTTGTGCAGTGCCCTGCCGCTGCCACCCTTCGGGGCTCAGAAGGGCTTCAGGAGAGGAAGCCCTGAGGTGGCCTCCAGCCCTTTGTGGGACACTGAAGTGAATGTCTTCTGGCAGGTGTGATGGTCCTCGGGGCCTGAGCAGCTGGGCTTTGCCCTCTGCCACGCTGTGTGTGCTCTCATGGTATAAACGTGGTAATGAACCAAAACAGAAACAGAGGCTTTGGGACCTGCCCTGGGATGATGCAGAGAGACAGTAAGGGTCCACAATCTCTTGCCTCCTCCACACCTCGCTGCCCTGAAGCTTTGCTTTCCCTGGGGAATTTTCTGGGGATGTTTCTCCTCCTGTGGAAACATGGAGAGCTGTCTCATGATCCCCCTGGGTCACGGGTCACCACCACTGGCCATGTAGCACAGGTGAATATTTAGGTAACAGCTGGGGCATGGCATTTGGCACTGAGGGCTGGGACAGGGTCCTGGGGTGGCAGGGACAGCGGTGGCACCCCCGTCCTGCAGCATCCCATGGCATCTTCCTCCGTGGGGTAGAAGTGTTTGAGTCGAGGCAGCTGGGACCAGCAGCTGCTGCCTTGTTCGTGCTCGGAGCCGGGGGCAGGGGACGGTCGCTGGGTGGGATGCTGGACAGGGTGGCTGTGGCAGCCTCTGTATTGAGTGTTTTGGAAGCACATCACAGCATCGGCTTGAAGTTTATAGGAGTGTCTCTTTGGGATGTGTGTTTGCTGACTCCTCCAATTTCATGTGTTAATTTTGCATCGTTAGTCCTGAGGCAGAGAGGGACCAGCTGGAGATGGGCTTAGCATCTCCTTAGGGCCAGCGCTGGATCTCCAGGACCTCTCTGGGAGCCTTCTCGATGCAATGGCCACCCATACGGTTGGACCTTTTTAACTCACAGCACTGTACGGATGCTGCTGGAAAGTTCTCGGTGGGGAAACAGGACCCATCCTACCCGTGACTGGCAGCGCAGGCTTAAGCCTCTCTGCCGTGAGTCCATGCTGTGATCTCTGGGCTGAAGCAGAACGTGCCAGCACCCGGCTGGTGGCCCGAGCAGCAGGTGGGTGCTCTCGAGCCTGCTGCTGGGTGTCCGTGTGGCTGGGGCTGCTTTCCTGGCTGTAGGAAGGTTTGTGGCTCCTTGGCAAAGCCCCCTGGGGTCAGGAGCTTGGCTTCGGGCAGTGCTGAGCCACGAGGGCGTGCGTGGGGCAGGTCGTGGTGACTCAGGATCGAGGGTGCAGCAATGCTTGGTTCGGGCTTGTTCCCCATCCTTGAGAGGGATGGGTTTGTGGAGGGGGAGGATCTGTTAGCCAAGAAGTAAACCCAAGGTGTTTTGATGGTTTTGCCCCTCTTTCTGGAGTGCTGAGGGGAAAAAACCCAACTGCAACAGAGACAGGAGCAGGGCAGACCTAGGGCCTTCGGTTAAACACATCCCCAATGCAGCTTGCTGCAGGGTTTGGGGTGCACACGATGCTCTGGCAATGCCACAAGCAGCTGCTCATACGTGGCCTCCCCAGAGACTTTTGCTGTTCCCTCAAAATCTAAAATAAAGTGTTATTCAGTGTTATTCAGAGTGGCTAGAGGTCCTATTTGTCCCCTCTCCTCTGTGCCGGAGAAGCTCAGTGGGACAGGCCGTCTCCCCAGGGGAGCAGAGAGCCTGCGTGGAGGCAGCGTGGCTTTAGAGACCGCGTGGATTTGCCCAGCAGCCACCGAGAGGGCTCTTTGCCTGCTGGAGGTGGAGTATTTCTGCCGAGTGATTTTGGGAGGGGTGCTGGCTAACAAGAAGAGGGTTGCCAGCCTGGGAGCCCCAGCACTGCAAGGTGTTAATTAAAAAAACCACCAAAATACCAGTACAAGAATTACAGCAGAGATGATGCATAATATGGTCCGAGTCATTTGCTTTAATGAGATGGGTGTAATTAATTAATTAATCCATTCAATACCAGGCGATTCCGCTGCAGTGAAGGGAGTAGCAGAAGTGTAAGTCAATCCACTATAAAGCCTGTGCCGGGAAAACTCCACGGCTTTGTTTTCGCTTTGCAGGGATGGGCAGGGGTGCAGTGGCTGCCGCTGCAGAGCGGGCTGGGGATGGCGCTGTCACACAGTGTCCCCCAGCAATGCTGTGTGTCTCTGAAATGCAGCCTGCTGCTGTTGTCGTCGGACACAGCAGCTCCCATGGGACGGTGGCCCAACTCCGGGTGCACAGCTCTCCGGGAAGCACCGCGGCCCCCATCACGTCCTGGCTCCCTGCGCCAGCTCGGGATTCCCCCCTGCTGCAGGAACCCGTTGGTGCTTTGTCACCAGCCTCAAATCCTCCTTAAAGCCATGTGCCGGCGAGGCACACGCACTGGCCATTCCCTAATTGTGCCGGGTCGGTCCTGGGCCGGGTGCTGCTCCTCTCTTCGTCTGCTCCGTCGGGACGTGACCCCACCATCACACAGCTAATGCCAGTGACGTCCTCCGCGTGCCCAGGGAGCCACAGGCTGGTGCGGGGACGCTGCTTGGGTTTCAGCGGCTGAATGATATCTTTCTGAACTCCAATTAGTTCCCAGGCACCGGGATAATGGCCGGTCCCCGCTGCCAAGATTAATGACTTGGGGCAAAATCCAGCCTGGCTCAAATGCCTGTGGGAGTGCAGCGGCTATTTATAATGGGACGTGCAGGGCACGAGGCTGGTGGCCCCACGCCGCCTCCTTGGCCCCGGCCACCGTGCGGGGTAACCTGACCCACATGCCGCAGCGGCCTCACAGCCATTTATAGCTGCGTCCTGCTGGGGCTGGGCCGAGCGGGGACCCCGTGGGGCTCTGCCTCCCCGCCATGCCCCACCGCTGCTCATCTGCGGGATTTCAGGATTCAGAGGTTTTGGGGAGCTCACTGGGATAGGAACGAAGGGGAAGATGGGTGGTGGTGGGCAGGTGAAGGATGGGGATGGTAGGCTCTGCGTGCAGACTCTCTCCTGGTGGGAAAAGGGCTTTTTTCTGGCACACAATCAGGCTGCTGTGGCTTTCCTGCAGCGATGGAGCTGGTCCACCAACCAGCCACCTACAAGAGTTGGCTGCAAAGCCAAGCTCGTGTCTCCCTCCTGCCACCCACACCGCTGACTTGGAGCTGGAGCGAAACCAGTGGTGACGGCTGGGGACATGGCAGCAGGCACGTGTCTGTCCCGTGGTCCTTTCCCCAAGGGCCACCAAAGGGAAGCCCTTCCCTGGAGCCACCAGCTGGTCCCACACGGCCCCCAGAGCAGGACCATGACTGGTCCCACTGGGCTGCGGCGTGGGGGCCATCCTTCCCTGCTCAGTCAAAGCCTTTTGGCTGGTGCTGCCGGCCTAATTTTCAGGATGTAGCTACGGGGCCCCATCAATTCACGGTGATTCTCATCTCCCCCTTCCCCTAAACCTCAGGAGCCAGCAGCTGTCCCAGCATGGCTCTGAGGGCTCTGGCTCCGGAGCCAGACTCGCTGGGAGCTGAAAGCTGGTTTCTTGTCCTTGGTTTATAACTCATGGGGCAGGGATATCCGAGCTGCGAGCACGCAGTTCGAGGCTTTTCCTGGGGCTAAGCCATGGTATTTGAGAGCTGTTGTTCCCAGTTGGCAGTGGGACCGGCTGTACCAGCACAGTTTGGACTGTGTAATTTTGGCCTGGGACTCCTGCCCATTCCCCGCCCCCTGCCTCCATGTGCCGCCCCAGGGACCCGCTCAGGCTTGGATCTGTGGACTGATCTGGGTTAAAGGAAAGAAGAAAGGGGGAAAAGGCCATTTTTACCCCTTCTAGCGAGCTCCCCGGGCTGCGATGGTGGGGCAGAGGCACTGGGAGGATCCTAGGTGTCATGTCATCCTCTGGTACGACCTCGCCCACCAGTGCCATCCCCTCCCCGCACCCACAGGGATGCTGGGCAGAGGACCTGCTGCAGCACCCATGGGTGATGGCTCCAGGGAGGTAGCAAAGGAGGTACCAGCTTCGGTGCAGGGAGGATGCAAGAAGTTTCAGGGGGGCAGATGGGTGCTGGTGGGCAGGATGAGGCTGCCATGGCCCATGCCATGCCCTCAGCTGGGTGCTGCCTCTCTTCCAGTGAAGTACATGAAGGAGATCTCCCCCTACTTCAAGAACTCCTCTGCGGGGGCGACGGTCAGCTGGGACCCCTCTCCCACTGCCCTGCAGAAGCGGTCATCCCCCCTCCTACCCCCTCGGGAGCTCCGAGAGGGCAGGACTGTGCCTCTGAAGATGTGCTATGTGTCCCGCAAGTGCCTCCCCACCGACCCGGAGCACAGGTCAGGGCATGGCGCTAGGGGGTGGTGATGCCACTGTGGTGCCCCGGGGTGCTGAGGGCCGGCAGGGACCCATCGGGGCTGTGTCCCTGCAGGTACCTGGAGGTGTGCTCGGCAGATGGACGCGTTGCCCTTTTCCTGCGGGCAAAGGACGAGGCCACGGCGCAGTCGTGGCTCAGCGCCATCCAGGCCAACGCGGGCGCGCTGCTGCCGCGGGTGAAGGAGGAGCTGCGAGCCCAGCTGGCGGGCGCTGGCACGGTGGCCGGACGGGACATCAAGCATGTGGGCTGGCTGACGGAGCAGGTACCCCCATGCCCCCTCCTGCCCCTCGCCACCGTGCTGCCGGTGGCCTTGACCCCCTTCCCTTGCAGCTCCCCAGCGCCGGCACCAGGAACCTCTTGGCCGTCCTCACCGAGAAGGAGCCGCTGC